TAGTAAGGCATAAAGTTACCTCTAAGTTCTTTTCTATGCTTTGGAGCTTCAAGGACTTTAAAAAATTTCACTGGTCAAAAATGTGTGAACACCACTAAGCACAAATAGTGAAAATACAATAACAAATAAATTAAATTCGAATCTGGACGACGAATGGAACATTGAACTTAGCATTAAATAAAAGCAATAAAATATCATCGGAATTATGTATTACAGGAAAAGTAAAGATTGCTCGGAAGTAAAGATTAAGTAAAAAGATAGATTAGCTTTGTAAAGAGTATTTGTGATTTGATCATGGGATCTCTTCCCAATAGCCTAGCCTCTTCTATNATTTTAAAAAATTTCACTGGTCAAAAATGTGTGAACACCACTAAGCTCAAATAGTGAAAATACAGTAACAAATAAATTAAATTCGAATCTGGACGACGAATGGAACATTGAACTTAGCATTAAATGAAAGCAATAAAAGATCATCGGAATTATGTATTACAGGAAAAGTAAAGATTGCTCGGAAGTAAAGATTAAGTAAAAAGATAGATTAGCTTTGTGAAGAGTATTTGTGATTTGATCATGGGATCTCTTCCCAATAGCCTAGCCTCTTCTATTTATGGAGATGACTCTCAACCGTTGATCCATCTTTTTTGGCCATAACCCATTATCATAGCTCTGTCCCTTAAGATATGTGAATGGATGCTGAACGGTTCCAATTGGTGGCTCATGATGGCATGTTTTTTCATTTTTTGGGATTTCAAGAGCCCTATTCCTTTAACTGTCCCGTCGATTGTGGACTCTTACAGACTCCCTTATGACTGTCGGATTCCTTCCACGTGTCATCGTCAAATTTTGGTATTTTTGGGTGTAAACATCCCCCCCCCCCCCAACCACAAAATGATGCTGCTAAATACTCCACATTCGTGGTGTCGTTTTGACTCCTTTGAATTTAAACTTTTACCGTTACACAGGTCTTTGGCAAGAGGTACTTTGGGCTCCTCTTGTTTATNCGTTTTGGCTCCTTTGAATTTAAACTTTTACCGCTACACAGGTCTTTGGCAAGAGGTACTTTGGGCTCCTCTTGTTTATCCACTTTCGTGGGACGAGTCCTATTTAGCTAAGGTTCAGCCTAGGACCCAGAGTCCTAGTTAAATGCCACTCTGAACATCCAAGAGTTGGTGATAAAGGACCTAAGAACAAGACTCTTAGTCTAACTCTACCTTGAACATCTAGGAATTGGTGATGAGGTCCATTCTATCACAACCTAGTGTTTAAGGTCCTTTAAGATACAACTTCTTACCACTATAAATAAAGGCCCCGGGTATCAAATGGATTTAACTATAACCANTGTGAACATCCAAGAGTTGGTGATAAGGGACCTAAGAACAAGACTCTTAGTCTAACTCTACCCTAAACATCTAGGAATTGGTGATGAGGTCCATTCTATCACAACCTAGTGTTTAAGGTCCTTTAAGATACAACTTCTTACCACTATAAATAAAGGCCCCGGGTATCAAATGGATTTAACTATAACCAATGAAGAACTTCTTACCATTATAAGCAAATGCATCCCAAGCTTTCTTTCAGACGCCTCAATGGTGCGACGATCAACGGCAGCCCGAGGAGTGTTGTTAGCTGTGGAATCAACCAGTGAAGTGGTTGAAGAGGTAAATTGATTGACTTGGTCACAAAGAGACTTTGTTGATCCATTCAATGAGTAGCTGCCACGACCTTGCAACCAGCCTTGGTCAGATCATGGCAGAATTCCAGGGCATGACCCAAGAATGCATCGGTCACCATCACAACCTGGCCATGTTGGGTTGCACCATTGACCATACCTCCAGAATTTCGAAGGCCATCCTTACAAGATTTGAGGCGGGCAGCTTTGCCAATAATTCAATCACCATTACTTCAATTACAATGAACTAAGTAGTTTGCTTCTATAATAGATGTAGGGGCGCACACACAAAAGCATGCATCATATGTCCAAACCCAACAATCTCCAAGTCAAATTATCCTTTTGTTTAGTTAACACACAAAGTTTTGACATATTCTATATTTTTAACTATTTCTAATTTTTTTATACTTCAAATGGTAAAATAATATATAAAAACTATCAGTATAGATACTTAGTCATACAAATCTATGGCCCAACAAATGACAACTGTACTTTTGTTCGATATTCCAATGAAGAATAACTTTTGTAGACTTCTTTTTGACTTGTTGAGGTTTCTTCTTCATTTGATAAATTGAAATCTGCATCGCATCGGTGAGAGAGAGAGAGAGAGAGAGAGAGAGAGAGAGATGATATAGTTTTTCATTAAAACACTCTTTGATTATTAGTTTGGAGTAAATGGCAAAATTCTTTTATGCACATGTCGTTTAGGGCGAAAAAACTTTTTAATTGCATATCCTTGACACCTCAAAAGAGTTATGCTTGGTCTTATTAACTTNCCTTTAGGGCGAAAAATTTTTTTAATTGCATATCCTTGACACCTCAAAAGAGTTATGCTTGGTCTTATTAACTTAAAAAAGTCCTATAGGGGTCTTTTTCACCATTTTTCAGTTAAAAAGAAGCTGGGATAATTTTCATATTTCAAACCTTTGATATGAGCCCTATGGTAAATGTTGGTAATTGTTCAATCATTTTTAACAGCAGTGAGATACAAAATCTAAGAGGGTTATTAGTGTTAAAAACTTCAATGCTATCTCTTAAGATTATAAAGAAGTACTAAAAATTCTAAGGCTATCGCTTAAGAACATAAAAAACTATATATAGAGGTACCAATATAATTTAGCCAACCATAAAAACCAATCTAACACTGCCAAAAGTTTTTGCCACAAACTATTTCAATCACATTAGATAGAAACACCCAGGTACCACTTGAAATTTGCGACAACAATAGTCTCTTTAATGTTAAAGCAATTGATATATTGAAGCCCAATAGGAACCACTATACTTAAGTGGAAAATCTAGTATGAATTTCGACATACAGAAATACTAGTTTTTCGAAGACAAAACTCAAAGTGAAGAGAAAATTGGGACAGTAACAAGAGTGGCCCCAGCATCAACGATGAAGATATTTCCAGAGACATAATTCGAAGAGTCATGGATCAAGTATCGAACAAGTGTTGTCAACGCTGGGTCTGATGTGCCAGATGTTTTTAAGGGAATAGTTCTCGAAGCCACATTTTTTAGCCATTCTTTTTGCTTTAGAACCGCTGTGATCTCAGATCGAAAAAGTCCCGCCGCCATTGAATTCACTCTGATTTTATATGGCCCCAATTCCAATGCCATTACCTGTCGTTACATTGTCATCGTTCAACAATTAAAAAAGATGAACGTTGTAATTACAGAAAAAAAATAAACTAATTACAATTTTGACGTGTTTAGGGGTCCAAAAACATCGAANTACATTGTCATCGTTCAACAATTAAAAAAGATGAACGTTGTAATTACAGAAAAAAAATAAACTAATTACAATTTTGACGTGTTTAGGGGTCCAAAAACATCGAACGGATATTAAAGATGTAACTAGCGAGGAGAGAACGCCTAGCTACAACAAAAATATAATCGAGTATGGTATACTCCTAAATATTGTAATGAGAAAATTATGTAGTCTACCTATAGGGGTCTGAATGAAAATTGTTTCTAATTCTATCTGCTAGCTGGAACATTGAGTTTTAGACACGGGTTAATTACACCGTGCCCCATCAAACTATGAGGTTTATGTTACTTTGCCCCTCAACTATCATATTTCTTACATTGCACCTTCAACTATGCTTTTTAGTTTCATAAAATATACAATGATTAACTTCCATTACAAATATAATGGAAAGCAGTTTCACATTGCCCTTCACTTTACCNATGCTTTTTAGTTTCATAAAATATACAATGATTAACTTCCATTACAAATATAATGGAAAGCAGTTTCACATTGCCCTTCACTTTACCTCAAAAACATTTACATTTTTTATCCAATCAATACGTGTGTTTACGTTTCGAGGAGTATGAAACCAATACATGTGGTTGAGAGGACAATGTAAAAAATTCAATAACTGAGAGCTAGAGTGACACAAATCTCATAGTTCGAGAGGGTCATAATTCTTGCCCAAACAACTAAATCATATATTTATGTTAAAAGGAGAATGTGAAACAAGAGAAAATATTACCCTTGTCATGGTGTCCATGGCTGACTTTGAAGAAGCATAGGCAGTACATCCAGGTGGTACTGGTCGGTTTAGACCACCAGTAGAAGAAATATTGATAATGGATCCTCCCCGACCCAAAGCACGCATTCGCATACCAACGTACTTTGACACCGACCAAGCTCCTACTAAGTTTGTTTTGATAACAATATTCCAATCCTCCTCAGATAAATCCAATGAAGACCTCGCCTTGCCCGTTAGTTGAAAGTGTTGGGTTTCCCTCCTTTGTGGGATCCATCTATTTTCTAAATATAGTTTTTCTTAATTTTGGCATGCACCTTGGCCAGCACATGACTTTAATTTTGGTGGCTTACCCGTGTATGACTCTTGGCATATCCAAGGCTTGGTTTGGAGTCTTCAAGTTAAAGGAATTTGGCAGCCACCAAGTACTACAAGTTTTTGTCATTTTCTTTGGTTCATCTCTTCTCTGTTGGTTTGGCAAGAATACATATTTTCGGCAGTCTTTGGTTCAACAAAAATTCAGCCTTCTTCTTCTCCTTTTTGGTGCCAGAAAAATCTGCAAATTTGTTCTTCAAGTGGGTAATATTTCTTCACTTGATATTTGGGTTTCTTGCGGTTTGTTCTTGGAGATTTGGTTCACTTATTTTGTGAGGTATTTTCCTCTTGTGATTTACACCTTGGTGTGTTTGTAAGGCTTATGCCTTTTGGCCAATTTGTAAACTTTTTTGGTGATAGTGGAAGAAACTGACCTACCGGTCGTCGTGAACGTACCACAATTTGAGGGAACCACGTAAATCTTGTGTGCTTATTTATTTTATGTTATTTTATTTATATTGCTTCTATTGATTTACACTTGTGGGAAAACCTATTTTTTCCAATATCTGGTATCAGAGCAATTGATTATTTCGGTTCCGATTAGTTATATTTGTGTGTGTGAATTATGGACGGCAACGTTGGGCGTATGGTTAGTTTCAATGGCACAAATTGGGTGAATTGGAAAACTAAAATGGAAGACCTTTTATTTTGTAAAGATTTGAATGGACCCATAGAGGGTGATAGTGGCAAACCGGAAGGAATGAAAGATGACGAGTGAAAAAAGCTAGACCAAAAAGCTGTCGGTTTTATTTGGCAATGGATTGATGATAGTGTCTTTCATCACGTCTCTACAGAAAATTCAACACATGGTTTTTGGACCAAATTGGAGAGTGTTTATGATAGAAAGACGGTCGTGAATAAAGCCTTTTTATTTCGAAAGCTTGTGAATTCTAAATATAAGGAGGGTACTCCTATTGCAGAGCATTTGAATGAGATTAAGAGCATTGTGAATCAGTTGGCCGCCATGAAAATTACTTTTGATGATGAGTTGCAAGCTTTGTTACTTCTTAGTTCACTTCCCGAAAGCTGGGAAACTTTGGTGGTCACAGTTAGTAACTCCGCACCTGATGGAGTGGTAACAATGAGTCAAGTTACCAGCAGTTTGTTGAATGAAGAAACAAGAAGAAAATCATCAGGTTCTTCTTACTCCGAGGCACTTGTAATGGAAAACCGGGGGAGAGGCAGGAGTAAGAGTAGGGTTCCGCACAACCGTGATAAATCTAGAGGTCGTTCAAGCTCGATGTCAAAAAAGGATGTTGAATGCTATTATTGTCACAAGAAAGGGCACATGAAGCGGGAATGTAGAAAACTCAAGTTCAAGGAGCAGAACAAAGAGAAAAATTCAGAGAAAAAGCAAATTGATACAGCTGTAGTTACCGATGATGAACTCATGATTATCCGTGATGATGCTAGCGTTAATTTGATTGGCCAAGAGACGGATTGGGTAATTGATTCTGGAGCTTCATTTCATGTTACTTCGCGGGCTGATTTCTTTACTTCTTACTCACAAGGTGATTTTGGGAATGTCCGTATGGGAAATGAAGATGTGTCAAAAATTGTCGGCATGGGTGACATTTGCTTGGAAACAAATATTGGATGCAAATTGCTGCTTAGAGATGTGAGGCATGTACCAGATATTCGACTCAATTTAATCTCTGCTGGAAAGTTAGATGATGAAGGCTACATCAACAATTTCAGTAATGGAAAATGGAAGCTCTCCAAAGGTTCTCTAGTGGTAGCAAAAGGAAAGAAGACTTGTTCTCTTTACACTATGCAAGCAAAAATCTGCAAGGGTGTTGTGAATACCTTAGAGAATGACTCATCCACTGATTTATGGCATAGAAGGCTTGGACATATGAGTGAAAAAGGATTGCAAGTTTTGTCCAAGAAAGAGCTTCTAGTGGGGATAAAAGGTACGCCTTTGAAAACTTGTGTTCATTGTTTCCATGGTAAACAAAACAGAATATCATTCCGTAGAAACATTGCATCTAGAAAATCTCATGTTTTAGATTTGGTACATTCTGATGTATGTGGTCCTTTGAAAGTTAGGACACTTGGTGGTGCTCTATACTTTGTCACTTTTATTGATGATCACTCTAGAAAAGTTTGGGCTTATACACTGAAAACTAAAGATCAAGTTCTAGATGTGTTTAAGATTTTTCAGGCCAAGGTTGAAAGAGAAACAGGTAGACAGTTGAAATGTGTTCGCTCGGATAATGGTGGTGAATATATTGGACCATTTGATCAGTATTGCACAAATCATGGTATCAGGCATGAAAAGACAGTTAAAAAGACACCTCAACAGAACGGGGTTGCAGAGAGAATGAATCGCACCATTCTTGAGAGAGTCAGATGTTTGCTCTCACATTCTAAATTGCCAAGATCCTTTTGGGGTGAGACAATGAGGACAACAGTTGATCTTATCAATTTGTCTCCTTTAGTTCCATTGAATGGTGATGTGCCAGAGAAAGTTTGAATAGGGAAGGAAGTCTCCTATGATAACTTGAGGGTATTCGGCTGCAGAGCTTTTGTTCATATTCCAAAAGATGAAAGGTCCAAGCTTGATCCAAAAGCAAAGCAATGCATATTTCTTGGCTATGGGCATGAAGAATTTGGATACAGGTTGTATGATACAGTTGACAAGAAAGTTGTCAGAAGCNTCTTGGCGATGGGCATGAAGAATTTGGCTACAGGTTGTATAATCCAGTTGACAAGAAAGTTGTCAGAAGCCGAGATGTTGTTTTCCTGGAAGATCAGACTATTGAAGACATTGACAAGCTTGAGTCAGCTGAGTCTAGTATTGATGATCTTGTTGATTTAGATCCTCTCAATCCCTCTGCTGTTCATGATATTGATGAGGAAGTGCAAACACCTCATGATGATGCAGCAGAAGATGATGTTGAGCCAGAGATTGAGGGGGAGCAACCNCTCTTGATCCACCTTCCGTTCATGATATTGATAAGGAAGTGCAGACACCTCATGATGATGTAGTAGAAGATGATGTTGAGCCAGAGATTGAGGGGGAGCAGCCATCCCAAGAGCCACTACCACAGACACCGTTAAGGAGATCTACCAGAGAAAAACAGTCATCCATAAAATATTCTTCAAATGAGTAGGTGATGATATTAGATTAGGGGGAGCCAAAGACTTATCAAGAAGTCTTGAAGCATGAGAACAAAACTAAATGGCTCAAGGAAATGAAAGAGGAAATAAAGTCTTTGCATGAGAATCACACCTATGATTTGGTGAAGCCGCCTAAAGGGAAGAAAATTTTGAAAAATAAATGGGTCTTTAGACGAAAGAATGATGGGAACAGCTCTCAACCGAGATTCAAGGCACGACTTGTTGTGAAAGGTTTTGATCAGAGGAAGGGAGTTGATTTTGATGAGATCTTCTCACCAGTTGTGAAGATGTCCTCCATTCGAACTGTGCTTGGTATAGCTGCGAGTATGAATTTAGAAGTTGAGCAGCTTGATGTGAAGACCGCATTTTTGCATGGTGACTTAGAAG